AGCATAGCTTTCAAAATTAGCCATTTGATTAATTTATTTTATTTATTTTGAGACAGACAACACATGTGCGAGTCTGGGAGGGGCAGAGAGAGAGCGAGAGACCCCCAAGGAGGCTCCTTGCTGTCAGTGCAGAGCCAGATGTGGGGTTCGATCCCACAAACCAGGAGATCATAACCTGAGCCGAAATGAAGAGTCGGACACTTAAGTGACAGAGCCACACAGGTGCCCCCAAAATATCCATTTTAAGGTAGTGTTCCCTACTTTTGGTATCAGTCTGTCCATCCACCACTTGGGCTAGAATTGGAGGAGGCTTTGAGTGCTGAACCTGACGTCCCACATCGTGTCTGGTCCCTGTGTGCTTTCTCCTGCCTGTGACAGTTCCACTGAGCAGTGATTGCCACAGACGTGGTACACACATCAGGCCGGGAGTACGCAGATGAATAATCAGGGGTAATAGGTCATTGTGTCAAACGAGCCGGAAAGAAGAGGAACAAATTAGCGGTTGAAAGACCATGTCTGTCCTAGAAAGGAGATCAGAAGTACAAAGAAGGGGACACAATTGAGGACATGTTTGTCACATCAGGAAGGATTCTGAAATCTTGATGACAGGTCATCTCCGTATGAAACTAGTGCTGAAGAAAAGCTTGTTCTTAAACTGCACTTGTCAGCCACACAGTTTTAGTTAAGGAAGTGTGATGATAATTTCAGATTTGTTCTGAATTTAAGTACCTAAATTTGAATAGAAGGAAGATTAAGTTTTAAAAACATCAATAATATGTGTAGCTGCCCTAAAATGATGAAAGACACTCATGGCTTTAACAGCACACTACAAATACGGTTGTAAAGTCTTCTAAAGTAGAGTTGAATATAAAGGAAACTTTTTTTACAAAAAAGTATTTATACATCTTACGTGTAAAATTATTTCTGATTGAGACCATTTCCAATTCTTAGGCAGCTAGTTATTTGGTGGGTTTCAGAGCAGTTCTTAATGGTACTTGAGAGTCGGAGCTATCACACGAACACAGGGATTGCGGTCTGCGGGGTCAGTCATGTCTGTCAGGCCTGACGCGTAGTCAGCCCTCATGGGTGAGCCCGGGGGGTGCGTCTACGCACTCTAGCGTGTGTACTTGGAGATGAGGTAGCTGCTGGGTCCTGATGGTGCGGGCCCAGTACCTCATCAGAGCGGATCCCCAGCACCCCAGATGGCTACAATGTGCCAAGTCAATCTGTGTTTCAGTGGCTTGGCCCGGATGAAATACAACGTATGGGCACCTGATAGACGGTTGCCAACAGTCCACAGTGTTCCTTTCTGCCTTCTTCTGGAAAGTTACTCGGCTTTGTTTTTTTTCAAGATAATTTCCCTTTCCAACATTTGAAAGAAATTTTCCAGACTCTCCACGTGTGACCATCTTTGATAGGAAGAAATCAGAAAGAGTGATGACTATCTAAATAGTCAGCGTTTAAGAAGTAGAGGCAGACAGAATTTTTCCTGTATAATTCTTACACAAAACATTTTTAAAAGATGGTTTCCTTTTGATGGGGTCACTAATGTCAAAAACAGGGCTCTCATAACATCTTGAAAAGATTTTAAAAAACATTAAAAAACTTCTTTCCTCTTAATGGGGTCACTAATCTCAAGAATGGGGCTTCCTTGAAGTTCTTAAAAATGTTCTCTGTGTGTTTTCCCCCCTCTGCGTGTAGTTGAGTATAAACTTTGTAACTTCAGAGGCGCCCCTCGATACGCAGTTTTAATCCGGTTCTCTCCTTCCACAGGGTAAGAGGTCGAGACTCTGAGGGTTTTTGTGATTTGCTCAGGGGCACAGCAGAAAAGTCAAGATTAAAAACCTGGCACGCGATTCCCAATCCTCTGCTCCTTCTGTTGCATGCTTTTTAGAGCAAGGAGTTGTGAGCAATGCAACACAGAGAAAAAAAAAAAAAAAGATGTGAAACTTAGGTTTAAAAAAAAAGTTTTCAAGCCATCAGGACTCATTTGCACTTCCACAAGTTAAAACTATTCTTAATATACACTAAAACTTCCAACAAGCACAGAAAAACTGGGAATTATTTTATAAAACATGTTACCGACTTCCTTAAATGGTTCTCTGGAAGTACTTACTCTATGCCCTTCTTGGATACCATAGTGGATTTATTCAGAATTTTCTAGAATTCATCTCTATAAAAATCAGTTAATGCTCTTCCACCGTAGCAGAGTGAAATAGCTTTTTTTTTAAATCTCCTTCTCATTTGCAGTTCAAAAGGTAAAGTCCCTAAACATCTTTTGAAAAGTCTGTGAGTGAAAGCTCAGATCTTGGGGGCAGTGCGGTCACAAAGGTAAGGTGGGGGCAAGAGACCTTACTCAGCTTTCTGCCCAGCACCTCCTGGGTTGGTGACCATGCCAGGTTACCCAAGTAAGGAGGGTCCTGGCGTCGGGCGACGTGCTAAACAAGACTGTAGGATAGGCTCTCTCTCCTGCTGTGTCTGCTTCTTGTCTCCCACTGGACCAGAGCAGGGGCCCCGGAAAAGATGACCCCTTCTCCTTGTCTTTGAGTGCATTCTGGGGAGGCCAGTGAATGCCGCTTCCGGTCAGCCCTCAAACTTCTGGTACAAGTTGTATGCATGCGGAAGACAAAGGTTATTTTTAGAAAGTCTAATAACGGAATCTATTTGACTCAAGCAGCTAGCAAATTCAAACCCTTCCCCCCCAAGAAAACCCCCAAAAACTGGAAGCTAAATGTTACACAACTGCTTTTTTTTTTTTTTTTTTTTTGATTTTTTAATTTTACATAATCTCTACAGCCAACATGGGGCTTGAATTTACAACCCTGAGATCAAGAGTCACATGTTCTACTGACTGAGCCAGCCAGGGCCCCTTCCCCATTAGTCTTTTAGACTGAGAATACAGGGGTTTTTTTCTAAACATAAAACTCTGTGTATAAACTTTCTGGGATTTGAATATATGTATCAAGTATCTCAGTAAGCTTCTAGTATTTTCTCATCTTTATCCTTGAGATTTTTTTTTTTCTTTTGGCTTAGTCACATATTCTGAGAAACTAATTGTCAACACATACTTCAGATTTCTTAAAGCTGATGGTGACCATTGAACCAGGTTCTCATACTCTTTACGTGGCCTCAGGGGGCTCATTTGAAACTAGAAAACATTTTCCCCCCTCGATTAGCTAAAATATCAATATATTTTACACGTATCAAAACTATAAAGGATTGACCAGATTGCCATGACATTACATAATGTTTGTTTGCTTACATTCTTGGCTCAAATGTGATGAAAATGATTGAATTGAATCTCCGCTGAATTCCACAGATGGTGACGATTTTCTGCCCTAGGCACTCTGTCTCATCAGGTAGAAAGATACTATTTATTTTGATTCCATTTTTCCTTGGGTAAAATCATCCCAGAATTTGTTCTTGTGGAGAAATCTTCATAAAACTATAGCTTTTGTCACATTTAATATTTTTTTCTTTGGTATTCTTACTACTATCATTTACTGCTGTTCACACATTTGAAAATAACCTAGACCTTGGCTGGAACAGCATGTACAACGCATGTGTTTTCTGCCTGAAGACTGGAGCCATCCTGATAGACAGGAAGATGGTCATAAATGTATGATGAGAGAATTTCAGAAGATCATCTTCCCTTAATACAGGAAAAGTCTTCATTTATAAATGAGATGTTAAAGCTGTGCACTGTACATGAGTGGAATTCTGTAAACATTGGGTGCAACATTATTTCAAAAGTCAATACTGAAAACACTGAGGGCATGTGTAGGGCATCAGTCTGCTTAAATATTTTTAAAGAAAATTGTTTTATGGCAGTCGCCTATACCATTTAAAATGATTTCGTTAAACTTGCAAGGTTTAGGAAACTTATCTCCATCTAACTCTAGATAGAATTTTCTTTTCCTTTCAGGACCGAATATTTTTATGTACTGCTAGTAGCTATGTCATAGCAGGAAACAATCCTGTCAAGAATCCAGCTACTCACAGGGTTGCCTTTACGTAGCCAAAATATTTGTTCCCAGAGAAAAGCATTTTAGCGTGATGCCTTTTAAAAACGAAGGGGCGCCTGGGTGGCTCAGTCACTTAAGCTTCTGACTTCGGTTCAGGTCATGATCTCGCAGCTTGTGAGTTGAAGGCCGGCATCAGACTCTGTGCTGACAGCTCGGAGCCTGGTTTGGATCCTGTGTCTCCCTGTCTCCCTGCCCCTCCCCCACTCGTGCTCTCTCTCGAACATTAAAAATTAAAAAAAAAAAAAAAAAAGAAATAAGCACTTCAATTGTGTTACCGAAATATTTCCTTTTTAACACAGATGAGCATTTAAACATGATCTCCAGTGCATTTTAAATGTGCTAGATAGGAGCATTTCAGCTTACAGAAAATATTTTAGCTGGTCAGAAGAAGTTAAATATCTGGGAAAGATTCTTTTTGAGTGAAATGCTTTCAAGCCATTTGAGGGATACTGAGGGATATTAAATCAGATGAAGAGTCTGAATGAATGATCCCAGTGTGCTGAATAACTATCTCGGGGACAGACTAAGCAGACGAACCAGTAAAATATCTTCCTTATTGATCCACTTGGTTATAAATTCACAAGTGTCATGTGCTACAGTATTTATATTAATCATGAAATATATTGAGATGAATTTAAATAAAACATAATAGCAAATGTTCTCCCTGTGCAACTTTCTTTTCTAGAATCACACCTTTTCATAGTAATCGAAACCTGACCTCTGGCTAGACGTAACAAAGAGGGGCAGGGGGCGATGAATGTTTTCGTATCATCCAGTTTGGCAACCCTCGTGTAAGACAGTAACGGACTGAACTTCCCAGTTTATAATACAGCTTTCATTTTATTTTAAACATATTTTGCATGATATAAAAATATTGATCACAGTGAGCTTTACCAATTGTTATTGCTATACAAATGAATGCAGAAACAATATTTTTAGTGGAAATAAATTATATAGTCATTATTTTTCTTTTTTAAATCACAAGAGAAAAAAAAAAAAACAAACAAAAACCTCAGCCGTTTGGTCATTGGTAGAAAACCAGTCATTATAAAGAGGTCTTCTGCAGGTGGGCTCCAGTCCGTGTCTGCCAAGCCGTCCACACCGCTCGGGAAGCCCTGTCCTTCCTCGTCCGCACGGTCCCACGAAGGCCTCTCTGGCCACGCACGGTTCTCCGGCGGCCACACGGTCGGCCAGGGCCGCAAGGTGCCAAGGTGGCAAGGAGTGCGGGCTCAGTCCCCGGGCGGCCTTCTCCAGTACGAAGGGACGCAGCGACAGACCTCGTCGCTGAAGGCGAGTCCCTGCTCGCAGCGCCGCAGTCGGCTGGCGCACGGCCTTCGGTAGCAGCTGGGAAAACAGAGAGCAAGGCGTTTGCGCGAGGACCAGCCCCGGGGCCCGCCGTGCCGCAGACCCAGCTGCCCGGCCACGGGTGCGCAGAACGGAGTCACCTGTCCTCTCAGAGGCCTATTCTCAGGCGTCCGTCTCACTGGCGTCCGGGCTGAGGTTCGGAAACCCGCGGGCCCTGGCGAGGCCTCCAGAGCCCCGCCGCCAGCACGGCCGGAGGGAGGTGACGGAGCGCAGCTTCTGCTGCCGCGTCCTCTGCTTCGCGGGGGGAAGGAACGCAGAAGAGAGGCCGGGAAGGCGAGTGTTTAAGGGTCGGCCGATGCAGCGTGAGCTCGGAGGTGTGTGGCCGAGTCCACAGGCGTGGGGGTGCCTGGGCGGAACCCCGACTCGGAAGGGATGACGGTGGCCCTCAGCGGGGAGCCCCGGCCTCACTCTGTCTCTGCCCACGGGGCAGGTGCGTGCTGGTGCGGCGCGGTCCCCTCTCCCTCTGCACCTGCGCTCCCTCCCGGCGGGAAGAAGGTGGTCTGGGGGAGGGGGAGGGGGAGGGCCGCTCTCTGCCCGCCCGGGACCCACCGGGGAAAGGACACGTGCTCAAACTGCCCTGTGGCTGCGGCCGACGGAGCTACCTTTGAGGAAGCTCGTGGGGGCGTGACAAGTGTCCAGTGCGGGAAGGGGGCGGGGGTCCAGGGAGGGACACAACACGACCTGGCGGGAAAACCAAAAGCACAACAGACACACTGCGAGTGCGAGTTGCAAGTTTCATTTCCTGTGCTCTGGAAAAGAAAGCACACCTAAAGTGCTCCTTTCCCCCGCGCCTCGGCACAGATGCACTCCTGGAGACTACCGGTATTCCTCTACTAAAAAGATGCAAATCTCAGCGGTCAGTGGAAGTCGCTGATGAAGGCAGTGGACAAAAAATATATATACTCGGCCCCTCCCCTCCTACTTTTGGAATAAATATGAAGAAGAAATGAGTGTCCACATTTTCAAAGTATTAAATTATATACTTTTTGCTTCAGCATATACATGCATACCCTTAGAAAAATGAACACAGGAGAGCTTCCATAAATTAAGTCTTCCTGAAACAATGTATCCTATTAGGAGATTACAAAGATCAAAGTCTTTCCTCTTAGATTAATGCAAGAATCTGTAGAGAAGTGTGATGGCTGGTTAGTCTTATCTAAGCATAAGATCGGGCTTTCTAAATATACTAGGGTCCCTCACAAGGTTCACTGTACAAAATGGTTAATAACTTTTAATAAGACTTAGTATGTATAATAGTCTGCATTTTTGAAATATCCTTCCGGGAGGTAGATATGCAGATAAAATTGGAATGCAGTTGCTCAAAATATTCTAAGAAGAAAACAAAAGGATCCCTGTAAGATCCTCTGAAGCAGTAATGGAAGAAAACAATGTCATCCATGAGACAGCTAGATACACTGAAGTTCCCTGATGCAGCGGCAAAAATGTGAGTGTGGACGGACTGTCAGGAACATAAATTAAAATGGGAACACAAGACTCGTGAGGATAAAAGATGGACATTTTACTTACTGGAGAGAAGTAATGAACATTATTGCAGCTGGGAAATTGTAAGTACACGAAATTTAATTTTTTAAAAATATTTTGAGAGAGAGAGAGGGAGAGAGACTATGAATATCCCCAGCAGGCTCCATGCTGTCAGCACAGAGCCTGATGTGGGACTCGAACTCAAGAACCATGAGGTCAGGACGGGAGCTAAGATCAAGAGTCAGACACCTAAACTAACTGAGCCACCCAAGTGCCCCCTGAAATTTAAGTTTTAGGTCCTGTGAGTGATCATCTGTCGCAAGGGCATTATCATCATCTCTACAGAGTCAGCTGGAAGAAGAGAAGCCAGTGTGGGTGATGATGGACGGTCTGAAAGCTAAAAGGGGAGCCGGGAGAATGAAATGTTGGGTCAGCCAGAAGGAAGAGGGGGGCCTCAGGAGAAAGCACACAAAGGACAGGTTACGTGAAGACTAACTTGCCCGCTGAATTTGGCAATGGAGTCTTTAGCTACCTTGTGTAGAACGTTATCATGGAATGTCAGGCCATGACCTGATTACAGCTGGTTAGATAAAAGAGAGATGCAGGAGGTAAACACAGATGTCAGATGCCTGGGTCTTGGCACAGCTTCGAAGAGGGCCGAGCTTCGCTACTAAAGTACACTCAGCATCCCGGAAAGATGCTAATAAAATAGAAGTCTGGGTCTGGGAGCTCTCATAAGCTGAAGGGAAAGGAAAGTAGTGGAAGATGTCCTAGGTGTGGAAGAGAGTCAAGCCCGTATGGCGGACAATGTTGAAGAAAATGCCCAAAGCACAGATCTGGCTAAAATGCAGACCACCTTACCCTCAGGTTAAAGAGGAAGTAGCTCAATCCAGGAAGGGTTTGAGTCCAACAGTCTCATTTTCTTTTTCTTGGTGAAGAAGGGGGCAGAATCCATGTTTAAGGGATGAGTCTTGAGTAATCTTTAGCGATATACTAATTTATTTTCCTAACTCCACTATTCAGGTTAACTCTTTTTCTTTCTAGATACATTTCTACAATTAGTGGCACTATCCTGTCTTTTGTAAATTGGGCGTAGACTTTTCTGCACTGAGGATGGTTGGCCCGCCTTATGATGGTGTCATAATTTTGGGGTGGGGGCAGATGAGCATTGTTCAGATGTTCTGGAAATGCTTGTCAAGTGACTGTCCTGTGCCTCTGTCTCCCATCCTGTGGTGAGCACCACACTACCGCAGCCTCAGCCTCTGGGACCAGGGTGAGAGCGCGTGTGGGGCTTGGATCTAGTTTCGATTCCCAGGGCTCCTGTCTTGCTTCTCTCAGGAGTAAACACCGTCTCCACCCAAGTTTCACCTTATTTAGAAAATAAGAGAATTCACCTCCCAGAAGTTAACTGGTCTTGTTCTAAAAAGCAACAGCTCTTGGGGTTGAGAAAACTATTCCCAGTAAGACAAGTGAATACGATTTATGAAGATATCTTACCTGCATGTTTGATGGTGAAATTTCTTTCCTTTTAAGAAGCACTTCTGCGAATTTTCTGTACACTCACAGGCACATTTTCCGGGGTTTAGGGGCTGATTTCTCGGGCAGGTCCTTTTACATACGCACTGGCATGTGTTTTCATCAAATTCTCGGTTGGCCCCGCATGAGCTGGATAAAAGTTTGTTTTTACAGACACACTGGCAGGAGTTCCTGTCTAGTTCTCTGTGGGGCCCGCAGCTGGAAGGCTGGAGCCCTCCTCTGCAGACACACTGACACGTCTCCTCATCAAGCTCCTTGTTGGGTCCACAGATGTCGTGGAATCCGCCTGTAGAGTCTAGACAAACACAGGCAGACAGCTTTACCTTGCTTAGTGCCCGGTGTGGTGTCAAACAATTAAAAGCGTCTTTGTGTTTTTCATTAAAGGGATGTTCACAGACATGGGTATGTTCCTTTACAAGGAAGTTCAAAATAATACCACCGTCAGGTAGAAAATGTCCTGCTTCGTAGGTCACTTATTTCAGAGTAAGGCGATCTGAACATCGTACATGTGCTTTTAATATTGAAAGATTTGTTGATCAGGACAGAGACCCTTGGCATTCGGTCTTTAAAACATCATTCTGCTTACCTTCTCCAGAATCAGAAGGAAAAATAAAATCTTGCTGAGGCAGGCATCGGCACAGGTGACTACTCCAGATGTAATTTGTGGGGCAAGTCTCATTGGCAGCCTGGCACCTTGGGGAGAAACCCACGAATTAGCAGGCTAACTGGTACACAGAAGGGGGCGTCTCTGTTCTTACCCATGTATTACAAAGCCGATGCATGCTTGTGAAAATGCTTTCAAATGACCAGAGAACGTATGGAGTGAAATGTGAGCATTTCCTCTCAGACTGCCCTCCTCGACCCCACGTGTGGTCAAATCCTAAGCCTAACGGGGACCCCTCTCAGTGGCGTGGTCTTCTGTTACTACAGACTTTTATCATGTTACGGCAAGTACATTTATTTGCACAACCGCATAGTGGTTTAGCTTGTGTACAAATGGGATAAGCCTCTTCTACTACTCTGGGATTTCCTTCTTCCACGAAACAATATACTGTGGATATCTTCATAGGTCCCATCATGCTCTGCTGTTTACTGGCTATGTAGTAGTCCATAATGTGGATGTAATGTTAATCTCCTATTGGTAACTACTGAAATTGCTTCCAACTTTTGGCTTTTTCAAACAATTCTATAGGAAACGTCTTCATATGTTCACCTTAACTGACGTCTTTTTAAAATTTTATTTGTTTTTTAATGTTTATTCAGTTTTGAGAGGTAGAGAGACAGAACGTGAGTGGGGGGTGGGGTAGAGAGAGAGACACACACACACAGAATCTGAAGCAGACTCCAGGCTCTAAGCTGCCAGTGCAGAGCCTGATATGGGGCTCGAACTCATGAACCGTGAGATCATGACCTAAGCTGAAGTTGGATGCTCAACCGACTGAGCCACCCAAGGCCCCTTTACTGATGTTTCTGAAACACAGACGGCTACAACTGTAAAGCGTCCATTAATACAAATTTCCACTATACAATCCACCAGAAAGGCATCGAAGACTTGTTAATGCTGCTGTTCTACTGTGTTCTCCCTGGCTCCCTCCTTCTCTTCTAGCCCTGCTGTCTGAGTAGAAGTTCGGAACGTACGGCCTTCAGTGAGGTACCCCAAGTGCTCTTTTCCTGCAGTCGCCCCACAGCTGGCTAACTGGGGCTCCTTCATGTTGGCGCCTGTATGAGATGAGCCCTTTAGTTTGAAGCTTCTCTGGGAAGAACAGATGTCACAAGCTCATCTTGCCCATTTTTCCCTCTACCCTCAGAATCAGCCCTTCTTTCAAGGAGCCCTAGTTCTGTTTGTTGGAAAATGGCCTTTGGGATTAGGTTCGTTCGGTGCCATCAGGTTACACTGGCCTTTGCGGGGCACAGAGCTAAAAAATGCTGGTATGTCCCACAGAATGTCTCTGTATTTAATGTGCATCCAGTAGAAGGATTCTTGGCTCTTAATATCCTACCTCAGAGTGTATATAAGACTCTTACTAGCTAATTGTTCAGCTGAGCTTGGTGCAGGGGAAATAAGTGTACCTTCCACACTCGATATCATGAACAAACTGTTAGAACATAACACTGTCTTAACGGGTGCACTGAGTGTGAACAAACAGGTCATGCGCTGTTTCAGAGACCTACTGTGTGATGATGTAATGACATACCTTGCTTTAAAGGCCAGCCTGATGTGTTGGACAGCACCACCGAAAGGGACATTTGAGCAGTGTAAGCCCATGTGTATTTTGTAGCCACTTTTTTGCTGACAGCCACCTCTGAGAATTTATGGGAACTCTCCCACCCCGCAGTCTGTACAGGAGCTCCAAGACCCACGGAATCTCTCCCTGTTCCATTCAGGTGATAGTCTGCCTCAAACACCCTCTCCACACCCCTGCGAATGGCAATAACTGCCTTACCCTTACCCCTCCTTCCTTGTGACTTTCTTCAAGGGTCATGTTTCCAGCTTGAGGAAAAACCATGTTGGGAAAGTTTTCTTGGGATTTTTGATTCGTACCAAGTCTTTGAATGCTCTGTGCTATCTGCCGTCCTGTGTCTTAAGCTAATTTCTCATTCAGCATGCAAATAACCAAGTAACCACATATAAAGCAACTGTGTGTTAACAACTATGATAATTGCCGGATGATTAAGGAAACAGTGTTTGAGCATTTTAGAGTCTGTCAAGATAGGATGTTGCTTTTCCTACAGATATTTAAGTTGTTTTGTAGGGAATTAGTTATGTTTGGGGTTTGCCTACAATACTTTATAATTCTTACCATTTAAAACAATAAAAATGTTGGCAATGTATATATTTGGAAATAGGCTATTGATTTTAAGTAAAAGATACCTGTACAGATTTTTAGGGGAAAAAAAAGTCACAGAGCTATTTCCAAAGACAATGTAACATTACTGGGGTTTTCAGTTTACTCCTTTGACTGCGTACTAATAACTTGCATTAAAATCTTTTTGACAAAAAAATTGTTCCTAACAATCTTTATATTTGCTAAAGTATATATAAATATATTTACTTTATATGCTATATGCCTTTTTATAATTTTATTTTTTGAAACATTTATGTGATTTCAGTTAAAATTCTGAGAAAACATATATTCAGAGGACTTCATTCTGGCCCATGTCCTCAGCATGCTGATGCTTTTTGTAGCTGTTTGTTTTCAATGTTTCTTTCTGTAAAAAGAGGAAAAATATTTATATGTATGTACATATACATATTCTTTCCCCATTCCATTACAGAGAAGATAGCCTCCCTTACATACTATTCTAAACCTTGCTTTTCTCATGAACAATATTCCCTGGGGGACACTACCTTACTGATAATTTCATGTCGTCCCAAGAACAAGTCTTTACTTAACCATATATTTCTGTCATTAGTATTTTCTTCATTAATCATAAACGTATGCAGGACACCTGGGTAGCTCAGTCCGTTAAGCGTCCAACTTTGGCTCAGGTCATGATCTCACGGTTCGTGGGTTCAAGCCCCATGTCGGGCTCTCTGCTGACAGCTAGCTCAGAGCCTGGAGCCTGCTTCGGATTCTGTGTCTTCCTCTCTCTCTGACCCTCCCCTGCTCATGCTGCCTCTTTCTCTCGCTCAGAAATAAATAAAACATTAAAAAATTTAAAAAAATCATAAACATACATTGTTCCACACAAAATTTAGACAGTATCAATTTTCTAAAACAATATCATTGTTTTTTGCTTTATCTCCTATCCAGAGCTTTAGTACCATTCCACCAAATAAGATGCAGGTATGTTTAGTTACAGAATGACAACAACTAATCCTGGCTGAATCTCAGATTGCTCTTCTCTAAAAGAAGATCAGTACAGTACATTCTGGCTATGTTGTCGTCCTACTGACATACACATGAGTTAAGCTACCCACTCCTATGTTAGTGTCAGGAGGGCACAGAGCTGGGGTGGTCACAGTAGAAGGGCATTTTCATTTTGCCAGTATGGGATTTATGCTGCCATTACCGAAACCCAGTGTTCTTCTGGTCGTTAGCCGTAATATGTCAATTGATCCTGAAATCAATTACAAGGCATGGGAAGTGCATTTTTAATGTAAAAGAATGACATATAATAAAATACTACTAGAATGCACGTATAAAGATGGTTTCAGCAATTATATTCCACTGTTATATATGCATATATTTTTGTAACATGTAATATGCTATATACACATGCATACATAAATATGCATGTATACACCATCACACATAGGACCTCCCCCCTCTCCCACATGTGTTTGTGTACGTGTGTATATGGTAGCAATTCAAATGCATTAGTTTTTTAGTTACAGTAGTGGATAAATGCATATCTAAACTGTTTGTTTTTTATGGGAAGAAGTATCCAGAGTGATCTCAGTCGTTAGCTTAAATGAGGCTGGTCACTAATGGGCTCTTCAACTGTAGGAGTGGGTGCTAACGGACCCGTGCTGAACTTTCAGTAGGTACACAAGGCTGAGCCCCAAATGGATATGAAAATAAAACATTTCCTATTTCTCATGAAGTGAGGAAAAAAGTAGAGTGTTCTAATATTTAACACTGTTAAAAATATAAGTTCCAAAGTATGGACCGTGTATAGAAACAAATGTAGGAATGTATTTCTGAAAATGTCATACAAAATAACAGGGTATCTACCGTCTAGTTTTACTGAATGATTTCAATATGGTCTGGCTACAGTAGGCATTTTGATTTTGCACGTTCATGTTGAGTAAAAATATGGTCTTCAGAATAATAATTTCAATTATGTTATACCTGAAGTGTTTTTGCTAAAGTAAACTTTATATTACTAACTGTGCTTTACTAAAGATGAACTAAATATTTTAAGCTCTAATATTCGTAAAACTTAAATTTCTAGAAAAATGGCTTTAGAAGCGTCACCAAAAATAAGTAGCTACTATTTACCAACGTTAACCTATTTTAATGTTGAAATCTGAAATCCCGGTAGAGAGCATTTTATTAAAGAAACATGTATCTGTGTAGAATGCATTTTCACAATTACTAACTGAGGTTCCCTACTCTAAAAGTGAATGGCAAGTTCTTAGCATTTAAAGCTTCTCATGGGAGAAAAAGGGAGACAAAATTTCCAAAGTATTATTTTAGAATGAAAGAAAACGTTGTTAATGTGGAGAGGGGAATGAGCACAGTTTACTTATCTTCTACATAGCCTTTAGAGCATTTTAATTCTATTGAAATATTTCTTCAAGTTCTGCATCTTAATGTGTGTAAACACATTAAACTTTTAAATAAATTAGTTATTTTTTGTACACTGTATTTACAAGATAATTCAAAGACACATTTTGTCTGCAAAGTCAATGATTATGCAATTATTTGTAAAGTATATCTCGGTGGAGAATCACATGTAAATAAATGAACTTTCCTACTTTTCCTTCTCCCACAAGCATGACCACAGTCCCACTGATACTTATGTAGGTAAGACACTTTTCTAAGAATTATTTCATTACCTCACTCCACCGGTTTGGTACCTGTTGCCAGTTAAAAGCAGAAAACAAACACGTAACGGGATGTGTGTTACAGAACAACGGACTTAAAGACCAGAATCGTTCTTATGTTGCCATTTATTCCTCTTTTGAAATTTTAAAGGACGAATATGTTCCCCGCAATTAAATCCTCCTTACTGGAGGAGAGTTC